TATATATATATATATATTATTGAAAATAATTCTATTTGATAATTTAACACATTTCTAATACAGAAATGTAACGCTATGCCATGTGGAATCAGAAAGACTTCTGACTTGTCAGTTATCCAATAGATTGATTCCCTTCACAAGGAGGGTAAGTTTAAAAAAATGGTAAAGATGACTGTTCACAGACAGCTGTATCCTATCATAATAATGGGAAGTTGAGTGGAAGGAAAAGAGTGGTAGAAAAGGGTGCACAATGCATTTTTTAAATGCATACATAGACTAGTAGTCATTATCTTTATATAAAATATATATTCCAACTTATAGTCAACACTGACATACAATTTGATCAGGAATTTTATGCTTCATATAGAGTAAAATTGGAATACTGATTCTTATGCAATGTTGATCACACACACACACACACACACACACACACACACACAAACGCAAGAAAATTGATGAATTCGTGTTTAAGTCTAAGTTTGGTTAGTCTAAAGAGGTTTATTTATAGGGATGAGATTTGCGTTTGCAACATTTTATCGGTTGTTGAGAAACTTTATTTAAGCAGTTTAGTGGGACAGAGCAGCAAAGCGTGTGAAGCGGAGGGTAAGGAAAGTGACTAAAGCTGTCCTGGATGGTGGGCTGAGCCAAGGCTGCACGCCAATCAAGCTCAAGGCAGGTAGAGATAGAGAGCGAGAGAGAGAGAGAGGAAGGCACTCACAGGGAGAGGGAGAGGAGGAGCGCGAGATTAGGACGGCGCATGGCAGCGCTGAAAAGAGGGATAAAGCCTGCGCGAGCGTCGCAGTTTACTCACATCTCACGAGAGGGTTAACGCCACAGTTAAAGGAAAACAAAAATAAAAAAAACTACGGTACTTCCAGCGCGAACTTCCCGGAATTACCTGAGTGAGAAAAAATGAAAATTTTCCTGCTGCGTGGGATAAATCGATCCAATTTGTGACGGGGTAACTTATTCTTGACGCGACTGGGAAACCCCAAAAAAGTCAGAGGTAAGAATTGTTTATTTGTTTACTCCTGCTCTGAAGCTGAAGGCTAAAATATCCCCTAAGATATAGTTCTTGTATCACTTTTCTAAACCACTTTGCAAAATTATTATTATTATTATTATTATTATTATTATTATTATTATTATTATTATTATTATTATTATTATTATTATTATTTGTTAATAATAAAACAGCAGTTTACAGAGATTAGTCCTAGCCTTCCACGCGGGATATGTTTAAAAAGTGAACTAATTGTTCGTCATAATCATTAGTTTGTATTTGTAGTCCGACGTATTGTTAGAAAATAATTACAATATAATAAATAATAATGAAATAGTCTTGTAAAAATAATTTTAAAAAAAGTTATATGTTCTCGTGTCCAAAACTTCCTTGGTAATAGTTTTTTTTTTTTTTTTTTTTTTCTTCTTCTTTCTCCCTGGAGGCCAATGGTCATTCAGTTTAACGAATTAATGATCCAGGTTTTAAATTTAATTCACATAAACAAGGGGCTGTGCTGTCACTTTAAATTTTAAGATATTACGTATCTTTCTTGTTAGTTACCAGCGCTTTGCAGAGTAGGAGGTTTTTTTTTCTTTCGTTCTTTCTTTTTTTGTTTCTATAAAACCAATAGTTTTCGGGCCTGCTAAAGTCACTGCAAGCAAAAATCTTTTTAAGGTGCTGTCTGTTTTAAATTCAAACAACTAAATGAGGATAAAATTTGTTTTGCCAACGAGCGCTTGAAAATTGAGATAGGATTTAAATTCAGACTGAACTAAAACTGAAAACTGCTTTTGGCACATTCGTATCTGCCCTCTAAACATAGCATTAAGCAAATAACACTGAACAGCACGTAGCCTAAATTATGTAAGTAATTAAAAATAAGGATAAAATAACAGAGAAGTTTATCATTGCATGGTGATTATTGGCAAATAAAGTGAGTCTTATTGGAGTAGTCCCTCATTAGAGACGTTCACAGATGATGGACTGAAGAACTTTATGTGTCCGTTTTAACGCAGACATTTTTCTGACCGTTTCGGCATGGTGAGCTTTTACTTTTATTACTGTCATTATCATGCATATTTTTAAAAAGGTGTTTTATTTTTTTTTTAAACCAGCAACAAAAACGGAAGCATTAAACAGGAGGACCAGATATCATGATGCAGAAAAATAAAACTCACTTCATATGTAATCAGTTGTTTAATTTCTGGAAAAAAAACAAACAAACAAAAAAAAACACTGATTGTAAGCTGCTTTAAATTGTATCATTTTGAAGTGTTCTTGAAGCACTGTAGGCATATTTTAGTTTCTATATATTTTTCTGTCATAAAAATTAGTGGAAGAAAAAAAATGAACTATTAAGTTTTCTCACTATATTTTACATAGTAGTATATTTTACATAGAGAATTTATTTTAAAAACGTTTCACATTTATTTAATTAGGTTCTAAATTATTTTTTTAGAAATATGTGTTTTTCTTGTCTTTTTTATTTGTCTTCTCAATCGACAGCTAAAACACACATGAGTAGAACTTCATAAAGTTGTAAAAAAATATTTGTGGATAAAGTAATTAAATTTAAATCCTGAATATGAAGGTTTTGTAAATTAAATGTGTGCATTTAAAAAAAAAAAAAAAAAAAAAAAAAAAACTTTGTTGTGACAATTTTTGGAATCATATGTTGCAGTTCAAAGGAAAATTAAAAGAAATTAACTGGGATTTATTTATTTTTTTACGTCACAAGATTTTCTAAAACATATTTTAAAAAAATATTTTATTTGACATGAGAAATCAGAAACATTAAAATTTTAATGTTATACACTGTCTACATTTTTCTTCTTACCTTTTTTCATGTTAATAAACTCATCAAAACCAGTGTATGCATGGCAACAGTTACACAGTGCACATAAGTTTAACAAGATTATTTATATGTATATAATAACGTGACAATCACATTTCTTTATTTCCCTTTTCCAACAGGTTCAGCTGCAAAAAATTTTATTCCAAGCATGGATAAGGCTCATCTTTCAAGCCCCAATGAAATAATAATGACAAACTCAACAGGCTCTTATCAACAGGAGCCTCTCACTCCACCCAGGCCTGCCCATCTGCACTCCTCATCCTCTTCATTATCCTCCCCTTCCCCTTCATCCTCCTCTCCCCTCAAACCCAACCAGGTGGGTCAGGTCATCTTGTACGGCGTTCCTATTGTGTCACTCGTCATTGACAACAATGAGAGACTTTGTCTGGCGCAGATCTCAAACACTCTTTTGAAGAACTACAGTTACAACGAGATTCATAACCGCCGAGTGGCCCTCGGGATCACCTGTGTCCAGTGCACTCCAGTTCAGCTGGAGATCCTCCGCAGGGCCGGTGCCATGCCCATCTCGTCACGCCGGTGCGGCATGATCACCAAGCGTGAAGCCGAGCGCCTGTGCAAGTCCTTCCTGGGAGAAAACTCGCCCCCTAAACTGCCTGACAACTTTGCCTTCGACGTGACACACGAGTGCGCCTGGGGTTGCCGGGGTAACTTCATACCAGCGCGCTACAACAGCTCCAGGGCCAAATGCATCAAGTGCTCCTTTTGCAACATGTATTTTTCTCCAAACAAGTTCATTTTCCATTCTCACCGCACACCAGACGCCAAGTACACCCAGCCTGATGCTGCCAACTTCAACTCCTGGCGCAGGCACCTCAGACTGACAGACAAACTTCCACCGGATGAGTTGGTTTACGCATGGGAAGACGTCAAAGCCATGTTCAATGGAGGTAGCCGAAAGAGAGCGCTACCATCATCTGTCCAGTGCGCTTCCATGGGTCCCATGAAGAGTCTCCCAGGTTCAGTGGTGCCTCATATGATAGGACCTGACTTGGGTGCACAGAAAAGAGCCCGCTTTGAGGATGAGGATGATCTGGACGGAGGCAGCCTCTCTCCTCGTAAAACACCACGCAACTACCCTGTCATCCCTGTCCCAAGCAAAGGCTTCAGCATGCTGCAGAAGTTCCCCCCTACGTCACTCTTCCCATCCCCTTACCCCTTCCCTGCGTTTGGCCTCTGCCAGCAGAAAAAGGAGGACAGTGACGTTTCAACTGTTCAGAAAGGGCCAGGGCTTTCGGGTCTTTTATGGCCTGGCCGCAAAGACGCTTTCTATCCTCCTTTCTGTATGTTTTGGCCCCCGAGAGCAGCTGGGGGGATTCCAGTCCCTACCTACCTTCAGCCTCAGCCCAGCACCCTTTCCACCCTGACTGAAAACCCATCTCTCAGGCAGGCCTTTTTGGATCTGTCAGACCCTAGTGATGCTGGAGCTGTAAGCAGCAATGGGAATGCTGTCAGTGCAGCTATGGCCCCCAGCAATGGGACCACCACACCAAGATCCGGGTTGTTTGACACCGAGTGCACGACAGCAACCCCAGACCTTCGCCCTGTGACGTCGGAGGGATGGCTGAAACTTCTAGAAAACCCAGCTCTCCAAACAAGGAAGCCCAGCTATGGCTCTGCCTTTCGCCCAGTTGTCAAGGATGCAGAGAGCATCGCCAAGCTCCACGGCAACAGCGGAGGAGTCAACGGAGCTACAGATGAGGACTTTGGAGTCGTGGTTCCCGGATCGGACCGACACCAGCGGCTGTCGCCCACCAGCAGCTGCAGCTATGGCAGTGAAAGCGGAGGTGACGGGGAAGCAGAGGGAGCAGAGAGTGAGGAAGAGGGTGAAGTGGATGTGGAGTCTTCGAAGCAGGAGGACGAGGAGGAGGAGGGGAGTTTCACAAATAGACCGCCACAGACTCAGACCAACCTGTATCTGCCTGTTCTGAGTGACAGTGCTGGAGAGGAACGGGGGAAGGACAGGGGGAGTGGTGCAATGTATCCCAGCACCTCCCCGGGATCCTCCTCGAATCCCATCGTACAGGAGTCGCCCAGCCTACCTGCCTCTCCACACGCCAGCTTGCCTCTCTCCAGCTCCACCCCGCCCCACCGAGAGGACACAGCTTACAAAAACGTAAATATCCCCACAGGCCACTTTAGCTAATTATTATTTAAATGGTGCCGCAGTCAGGCAGTGCTGTGATCTGCATAAGCAGATTGATAGCCTGGTTTCTCCCTGTAGAAATTGAAACAGTCACCCCACTCTGATCTCAGCTAATAGGCCTAGGCGTGGATTGTTGAATGGACGCAGTGTGTTTGTTCTGCCCCCGTCACCCCAACCTGTTAGGGCAGCTCTAATCTTTAACCTTCTGACTCCCACATTAACCAAGGCCCTGACAGGATGAAGGAGAGATAGAGGGAGAGTTGTCAAGACTGGCTAATATTAATTTTGAACCAGCTAACATATTTACTGTAAATATTGCATAGTACAAACATTTCTCAAGAAAAAAAAAGCAAAATCAGCATCATTTAAATTAATGCCAACATTTATTTTAAAGAAAACTGCCTACAAAACAGAAGAAACCTTTACAACTGCAGTAGGCCAAGAAAATTGAATTTATAAATAATAATAATAATAATTATTATTATTAATAATAATTTTTAATCAAAGTGTAGTTCATGTAGTTGAAATTCTTATCTTTTTTTTCCAGGCTCAGAAAAATCGAGATGAAGGACTGCCTGCATATGCAACCAAAGACAATTCAAGCAATTCTGGTGAGTGCAAACATGTTGAATGTTTTTTAAATGTTGTTTTTTTTACAGTTCTAGAAGAAACTTATTAATTGTTGATTAATGTGTTTTAAATGGGTTGGTTATTTGCTTTTCTTCAGGAAAAATGGTGAAATGTCAAGTTCAGCAGTGACAAAAAAGTTAGATCAAAAGTTTCAGAAATTACTAACTATTACATTAGTTGACTTACTGATTGCACTTATATATAAATAATAGATTAATAACGTGATATATGAAAGTAATTTTAAAATCAAATTATATAACTATAAAATCTCTTTGTACAATGATATACATCTCCTCCTCACTCCAGAAGTGACTTCTACTGTGCTGAAGTCATAGGATCCTACAGCCAATCCCTTGAAATGTTTCCCACCTTCATCAGAAAAAAATCCATGCACTGTTTTCAACTAATCCATTCTGATCAGATGCTGGAATCAATTGAATTAATTGCCTTTTGTTTCATTTCTTGTCTGACTCAGTGGTTTTATAGTGTCCATGTGTCCCTGCAAGGCTACCATCCTTGTGAGGTTTCATTTTGTTAAACTCATCTCACAGGATGACCCTTTTTCCTGAGGAAAATGTCCTCTGTGTCTTTTCCCGACACCGAAAACCTCACTCCGTGGGCGCACTTAGTTATCTCCATGTGTCCGGATAACCAGCTCAACCAATGGGCCTTACTGAATCTCCCATTTTCTGTCTTTCTCTCTCATTTTCTCCCAGATGAAAACAAAGAGCAGAGAAGTTTCTTTGTGCCTGAGAGTGAAACCTCAGCACCTGACTACTGGAGAGAGTGCACAGGTATGATCAAACAAGCTAAAGCGATAAAGAGCAGCTGCTGTCAGATTGAAAACAAATGAATAGCATTTTAGTTTAATTCATATTTGGTTCCTTATATTGCACCCTAAATCTGAAATCATCACCCAACCCACGAGGAAACAATGACAAGGTATTTAATGAGGAAATAAAGGTATGCATAAAACTGATAATGCTGATTAAATTTCTCACATGGTAAAACTGGGACTTGATGTTCAAACATTACAGTTTTGTTTGTTTTTTTCTATTCTGTTACGAATGGCACTCAGGATGCTTAACGCAGTGAGGGGAAAGCTCCTCTGTATTCAGATGTGGAGTTAAGGGATTTATATAAATACACACAGAAATGAGAAAACAGCAGAGAGCTGCTCCTGTCGCCGCTCTGCCGCGGCAGCTCTCTGTCGCCTGCAATGTTACTCTTAGGGGGGCTGTTACAGTTCAACAAGAAAACATCAGCTCAGAGATAAGCAGCGCGCCGGCAATCTCCATCCAAGGCCCATATCTTCGCCGGCATAATTGCCTTTTTTCCCCTTTCTCAGCGCAAAACAGCCCTTCCCGTTTGAAAAAGATCACAGCTTATTGCCTTTTTATATCTGTCAGGAAGACATTAAAAGTGCTTTATGACATCTGTGCCAACATTTATATCTACTCTCCCTCCCTCCCCCCTGCACATGCAGACATCGTAATGATCCCCGCGCATAATGTATAATGTATTTCAAAAAATTACACGAAACAAATTAAATGAGACCACCTTTCCCCTGATTGCCAAATGTCTCCCTGGGCGGTGGGAAGCTCTACGTGATTAGAAGGCCTGATTCCTCCGAGTCCCACCATCGCTCTCCCTCCTCCACTGTCTTTACACTCTCCCTCTGTTTCTAGGGAGAAAAAATAATCTAATTTTCCATTTATGTAATGCAAACCGCCTTGGCTTTGACTATTCACGGTTAATTGACTGTCAAACGAGGTTGTTATCCTCGGGCACTGTCTGCAAATTTGCTTGTCAAATGAGACAGAGAGAGGCGAGGAGAGGAGAGAAGAGAAGAGAAGAGGAGAGGAGTGGAGGAGAGCTCTAAATGGGAGAAAGAGGAGGAAACATGGGGAGGCTGAAGGAGCCAGGACTCGAAAGGACTGGAAGAGAATATACATGTTGAGGGGATGGGATTGCTTCATTTAAGCCAGAAAATGCCTCATTGTCACATATGCATACATGCATGACAATATAGACAAATTCAAACAGCATGTGATGGAGTTGCTTAGTACAGAGTCACAAAAAATCATAAAGTAGAGTAGATTCATTTAAAAAAATAATAATAATAATAAGTTTGGTGAACATTCAGTTGAAAATATTTCAGTGTTCTTTGGAGAAGGGGTCAGCAGCACTGTTCTATTTGAAAACTAATTTTTTCCCTTCGTCCCAAAAAATAAAATTCCTGCAGAATCATAGAATCTATCTACATGACCCTTTAACAAAAATACTACAGCTGTAGCTGGTTCTTCTATGGTGCATTTTAGGAACTATACTTTTTAGATTTTTAGAGAAATAAATGTTTACTACAAAAAGGATTGTCCATATTTCTGTAAATATTTAAAAGGCACATTGAATGCAACCCAATGACAACATATTAAACAGCTCAGCAAAATAATTAAAACTGATTTGTATGCTAATAATGCTGTAATATATTTCTTATTAATTTCACGCAGCAGAATTTCTCAGCTCTGTCAAATTTGGCTAAATTTAGAATGCATCAATGTAGAGGGCCGAAAGAGCCATAGGTTGCAGACTCCTGGGATAGAATTATTTGTTGACTATCCTGACATGATGTTACAACAGTTGTCAGCACTTTTGCTGCTATTTCCACACTCTATTCCCATCTCGAAAATTCAGTTTACTCCATGTAAATAAAATTTGAAACAAGAAGAAGACAAAAAGATGAACAAATTAGATTTTTGGCACCCATCATATAGAGCTCACAAATAATTGGAGCAACATAATCACCAGCTGAAAAAAAAATCTGATCTTTAATTGAAGTACATTTATTAAGTGGTGGGAGAAAAAAAAAACTAAATAAAACGTCGCCAGAAACACAAGCAATGGTATTCTTAACAAGCCCCTTATGCAAGGAAAGCTTTTTGAATGATTTTCTTTTACTAAATTTTGGTTTCCACAGGGTTAAAAAATGGGAGGCTTCTTTTAACCAACAAGGAATCATATTTAAATCAAATATGTAGACTGAGCAGGAAAGAGAGGTTCCAAAATAAATACCCAAAATGTGCTACAGCAAAGAATAGAAACCAGTGGGTTGCCAAGTCTTCTTTCTAACTGTTGAGTATGGTAGAAAAACTGTCATCTCCCAATGGCCCTGAGAACCCTCTTACAGTTCATGGTATCATATTATCTCTTTGACGCAGGACTCTGAAGAGTTTTTACAGATTGTAAATGTAAAAGATCCCACTCCCTTTGTATGCACCAACCTTATGTAATGTTATGTCACATCTTGGCAGCAGGAGTAATAAGAAGTTTGCCATTTGTGATCAAGTTAAAATAAATCCATTTTCCCAACATGTATTTTTTTATTTATTTTATTTTATTTTTTACATATTTTGTTTCATGCTAGTGCCTAAAATAAGAATTTAGTTTAAGCGTGTTTATACATCTTTTCCCTGGTTACCAACACTTTGGCACGTGTCTATTTTTTCCCCTTGGTCTTCTTTATATTATTATTATTTTAAACTTACACTGGCACCCAGAGGCCAGAAGATGAACTACAGCACTTTAGAAAACGAGTGAAAAAAATGGCAAGAAGGTCAAAAATACAAAAGACCTTTCATAAGGTATTTTGTCAAATGTTTCATAAGATTGAAACATTTTTGAATCTTCCCAAATATTATCGTCTTATATTGTTAAAAAAAATAGAACTTTCTTGTTTCATGTTCTTCAAAAGCTGTTATGTTGCTGCATCTTCAAGTAAAATTAAATATCAGACTCAACTGGTTTCTCTTCCTTGGACCATCCTTCTCCTTCTCTCTGTAGTGACTGATCTAGTCTAAAATAATGGTCTGTGGATGTTTATCTCAAAATCACCTATACATGTCAATAAAAATGTCCAGTATTTATGAGAATCGTTTCCACAAGTTTTTAATTACTGAAAACTTGGAGTTATGTAACCTGTTTTTTGAATCAATCTTTTTTTTTGTTTTTAGGGGATCAGAGCAGAGGCGCAACCTCTCCTGTCACACTAAAGAAGGATGTTGAGAATATGGAGAAAGGTAGAGGTTCTTTGATTCATAAATCTGTTGGACAACATTTTAGCGATCTAATTACGTAGGCATTCTAATCATTTCTCCCAGTTATCTTAAGAAAAGTTTCATGTCTTCCCACGTTTTTTGTCTTTATGTAGAAGAACTTCAGAAAGTTCTCCTGGAGCAGATTGACTTCAGGAGGAGACTGGAGCAGGAGTTTCATGCCCTAAAAGGAACTTCCCCATTTCCTGTCTTCCGTAAGTCTTTTTATTTTAAATCATTATATTAATCTAAATGTTTATCTAGTTTTCACTCCAAGACTATGTTTTATCATTTGTCTACTTTAGCCCCCTTATAAATGTCTCTTCTACTTTTCTTATTCTTGCTATCATTTTGTTGCACCTTTTAAAATTCCATATTTATACATCATCTGATACAACCTAATTTCATTTGTTGCAATGAAGTAATTTTCTGCAAAATGATAAATGTTTTACACCAACTTTTTCAGATAATTTTCAAGATCAGATGAAACGAGAGCTCGCCTACAGAGAAGAAATGGTCCAACAGTTACAGATGGTGAGAATCCGTAACTCCCCGGTACATTACATGCTGATGCATTAGATACTGAACACTAATAAGGAACAGACTTTGAATGGCTAATAAATCAATGAGTTAAAAACACACTGAATACTTTTAAAAATATTAAGACGAATTTCCAGGAAAGCTTCAGTACACTCTAGTACAGAAGGGAAATCTAAAGTCATGGTGAAACCGAATCAGAAATCAAATTATAATAAACCAGGACTCAAATCAACACTAGTTTTGTTGTTTATTTGTCCAGCAAAAGACAAAACCAATCACGCAGTTCGTCTTTCATGGGTGAGAAGTTCCTCTGCAGTCGTCTGATTGTTTCCGTTGACATCAATCACAGGAGCAGCTGGCAGATCGGCTGACAGATGCTGTTTGTCTTTTGTTTTCTGACACACGACTCAACTGTGTTCGCTCGTACGCCTGTGACGGCAAACCGTGCATGCACACCACAGCCCTCACACATGTGCACACACACACACACACACACACACACACACACGAGCAAACTATATCTGTGTGACTATAAAAGCAGAAAACGCAAACACAGACAACAGATTTTATGCTCATTTGCGAGTGCTTGTGTGCGCTAAAGTGCACATATGCACAGTAACTGACAAATGTCTCTAGAAGCAGCAGATGGATCAGTCTGAGAGTAATGACACATTAATTTCACACAGACATTTAAATGAACTTCAGAAATGTATAATTTATGTAGTGTATGTTGAAATTCAAAACCCTTTTACGTTTTACCATTACTTGCCAATTTAAATTTTTTGTCTGTGAAACTAATGTCAGAATGAGATAAAGAATACATTTACAGACATTGTGCCGGGTTTAAATGCATTTTATTAATTGATTCTTTGTTTGTCTTTTAGATTCCCTACACCAACATCATCAGAAAAGAAAAGATCAGCCCTCATCTTGGCAAATAGCTGAAAAGGTATCATTACTGAATTAACTTCATGAATTGGATCAAATGATGAGCATAGACTAACATCCAATTTTTGTTAAACTCAGTCACCAATTATTTATTTGAAAAAGTATTTAAGCCGATTTATCTTTTTCACACAACAGTCCCAGTGTATCTTACTGAAAGTGTTTGTGATGGACAGGCATGGAATATTACAGAATTGTGAAGTTAAAGGAAAATGACAAGTGGTTTTGAAAATGTATTTATAAAATCTTCTGAAAATGTGGCTTCCGTTATAGTTCAGCCCTTCTGATTCCAGTAGTTTGTAGCCTTTTGCTGCAGCTATATTTCCTAGTGTTTTGTGTTAATATCCCTACCAAGTTTGCACAACAATACACTAAAATTCTCAAATGGCTTTTCTGTTTGAATTAGGTTTAAATTCTGACTTGACCATTCTAATTCATAAATGTGATTTCATCTGAACCATTACATTGTAGCATCTACTGTATGTATGACTTGATAGTATTTTGCCACAAACTGTTATTTTTTTCAGTCTTGCCCTGTGTTTACCTTCATCCATGTAAGCCATGGAAACATCTCATAAACTATGCACAAGCAACATAATCAAATATTTCTGAAATCTTATGCTTTTTCTTCCACTTCACAATCATCCCAACATAAAATCCCAACACATCTAAGTTTGAAAAATTAAATGGTTATAAATATTAATGCAATATACTATAAGGTTTTACAATTAGCTTCAAAATGGTGATACATTACTAACACCCAACAAATTAGCCTTTGGTTTTTCCACATCAGCATTTGAAAATATAGAACTAATGTGTAAATTTATATTGAATTTGATAATTAATTAAATTACAAATTGCTTCATTTACAGGGTGAATCATTTCGCTCAACAGGACGGAGCTGCTTGGACTTGTGAAAGTCGCATAATTTTTTTCATAAAAGGCACATACTGTACTGACATAAAAGGAGGTATACTGTAAATGAACAAAACACCAACATTAAGGAATTCCAATGCAATTATATATATATATATATTTACACATTTCTTGGATTTCCAAGGACAGCAACTGTTTGACTCATTCCTTCAATTCTTCTGAACTCATTTGGATGACTTCATGCTGCTTTTGTACCAGCATGTTGGTAAAAGTTTACCAACTGTTTCATCTTCTCTTGGTCAACTTTCTCCACTCACACTCCCAAATTAACTGAACTGAAAACATCTGGATCAACGGGATCATTCTTGGCATTTTGCTATTGCAAGATTTCAAGCTCTATTCAACCGGGACCAAAGCAAGAACCTGGATGAAGGATGTAGAGGTGGAGAGAAAATGCTGAAAGACAGGGGTCACTTGTGACTCTCACTGCTGTTGGTCGAATGCACTGGACTGCTGTGGCATTGGCATCGCCAACCAGAGAGCCTGAAAGAAAAGTCCCCCTTAAGTATCAGCATTTGGGCCCAAAGAGATTCTTCTTGGCATACTGATGTAGGAACAGTCCTTTTGTACACAGATCATCATTGTTACCAATTATCAGCAATCACATGTGATGCAAGCTCTGACTGATGTCTAAGGAAGATGGAGAACCAACAAAAGAACAAAACAAAAAAATCACATTTTGAATTCACAAAAAAGGGTTTACATGCTGAAAATGTACAGTCACCATCATTTCTGTAATGTACAAAAAAAAAGAATCTGCAGATGTAACTCCCGTGTCAGTATTCAATGTATCACATCTGTTAGTACATATTTTATTTATATGCAAAGTTACCCTAAAAAACATATTTCATTCACTCTCATATTTATTCTGTATGAGTTTATAGCAGCTGAAAGGCACCAATTCAGATTTTTACCTCCACAAGAACTTTAAGTAAAAGTATTAATGCTACCATCAGCTAATAGATGCTGATCAGGCAATTTTAAGGCCCTCTCCAAGCACCTGCTTAATGTATGGCCAGCAAGGAGAAGATTGCAGTTCATTCTTGTTGTGTATCTATTTGTAAATTACTTCACCTAACTGTATAAATCATCACACATGAGAGTATTGAATCTTACAGTCTTTTTATGTGTTTATTTATTTATAATTTGAAAATAAAATCCTGAGACCCCTGTTGTGAAAATATTATTATAGATTTTAAAGAAGCTGTAAGAGACTCAATAACAATGATTATTAAGATGGTGTGTTTAAGTGTACGTCAAAAAAAAACAAAAACAAAAAAAATTACAAATGACATCTCCCTCACCTGGTTTATAGAATGAATGGATGAAGTTGTTATCTACTGATATGTTATTATTATATCCTGTTAATGCAGATGTATTTCAAAATGTTCCTGTAGTTTCTCTACTATGTGTAAATAAAAAATGTCTATACAAAAAAATAAAAACAGTTGAATTGTGAAATTTGCAATTAAAAAAAAAGTTGAGAAGAACTTATTTTTGCAATTTTTGAAGACATGTAATCTCCATGACCAAAAAAAAGAAGAAAAAAAAAACACAATTACAATTAACAGTGTCCATTTTGTTAGGTGAACAGTCTTCTGGAAAGATCCATCAAAACAGAGTTTTGTTGTCATCAACCACCTCGTGACATAATTCTTAATCTTACTGGAGAACTTCAATATTATTTAAAGCTTTTTAATTTTATCCATAAATTTTCAATAAGGTTTGAGTAATAGTTTTAATGTCGGCCTACATTTTAGTTCCATAACCAGTTTGCATAGTGTTTGGGATTATTTTGTTGGAAAACCCAGTGATGTTAAAGTTTCAACTCTCTAAAGGTTTTTGGTTAAATTCAGGCTCAAATCAGTTATGTTTTAGCAGAAAGAAGAAGATAAGCTGACTATCGATTGAACACTGTCACTTTGTAACGGCATTATAGCGAGACATTGAACAACAACTATAAACTACAACTCGCGCCGTTTGCACGACGTTCGCTGCTTTTTTACGGCTGTTACTCTTCTGGTTGCGGAGGACGACGACAGCAACGAGGGAGGAGATAAAACATCTTTTGCCAGCATGGCGTTTACGCTGTACACACTCATCCAGACCGCTATTCTGTGCACCAATGCTATCGCCGTGTTACACGAAGAGAGATTTCTCAGCAAAAGTAAGTAGCTGCTTGTAGTAAAGCGAATACCCCTATTAGTGCATGTTAACAGTCTGGTGGTCATCATCATCACACAAACTGTAGATAAATGAATGAGCTGGAATTCTAACATTTGGAAACTTGGCTTTATATATTTATTTGCTCAATTCTGTTTCCTGACTTGTACTCTTTCTGCTTAATGTGTGTGTGTGTGTGTGTGTGTGTGTGTGTGTGTGCAGTCGGTTGGGGTGTTGATCAGGGAGTTGGAGGCTTTGGGGATGACCCAGGAGTCAAAGCTCAGATACTGAATCTCATTCGTTCAGTTCGGACCGTCATGAGAGGTGAGACGTAAGCAGCGTGAAGCAAACATTTTAATTCAATACGAAATAAGGGCATCTCAGCAATTAGGAAAACTTCGAAAATATGTAATTTATTCAAAAGAAATGCTTTTTATTATTATTTTCAGTCTTTGGGGGAAAAAAGGTTGATTAATTGGAGTTATCAACACTTAAACACAAAAATAAAATATTGCTTTACTTATAAAACAAATTAGTGCAGCAAAAATATATATTTTATTTTTAAGGGGAAAAAATTAGGACTACTATAATATCCAGTCACACCTTTTGTTGAATCTTATGGAGTTCTAGATGTGCCAAAATTATTTTTCTGTTTGCATTCACTATGCATCACATGTCGATTGAACATATGATTTAGCATTGTGCCTATGTAACTGGCAGCTGTGCTTTTTTGGTTACAAAATTAATTCTAGCTACTACAATGTTCATGTAAATGACTAATCTAATCTGAGAAAACAATTAATATTGACAGTTGTATTTATTATAGTATTGGTGAAGTCTTGCTTTGTTGTCCTTATATTCCCTACTATCAAAAATATGCCACAGAGAACACTGATTGAAATGCCTGTGTGTGTGAAATAAAAAAGTGAAAACTCTTATTCTTTTTTATGAGCTGAAGTGTGATACTTGGCTTCAGTTAAATATTAACTAATGACTTGCAGTGATGTAAGATTAATCATTTTCTCCTAACTTTTTTTCCTGTCTTTTCTTTTTACAGTGCCACTGATAATTGTGAACTCAGCGTGCATCATCCTGTTGCTGCTGTTTGGTTGACAACCAAGCACTGATGTGTCAATGTAACAAGTCTGCACAGGTTACCAGAAACGGCTGCAAAAATACACCCTCACACACTGAACAATTTGCACATTCTTCAAGGATTTCTGCTGTCCGCCAACAGCAGAGTGGAAAAGCCATAGGCTGTGAAAAATCTCTGCCAAAGAAAAGAGGATTCAAACCATCACCTAGTCAAAAATATTCGGAGAAACCTTCCTCACCTGTTGTATGTTTTGTGAAAGCTTTAACTGGTGCTTAAATGACATCCCGCAACAAGGGAATAAAAATTACTATTGCTATCTATTGAAAGTAATGTTCTTTATTTTTGATTAACAGTTCAAGTATTCCATTCAGTTGTTTCACTGTTGTATAAAATGCCAGTTGTTTTAATCATCTAAAGTTTTTTTTAAACTAAACCAAAACCAATGTGCCGTTTACACACCGATCTTAACAGCAGTTAAGTGTTTTATCAGATTACAATAGAGAAAGCTTTGAAGCAGACTGGTGGCACTAGTTTCGTGTTTGCACTTTCCTCTCCTCAATATCCTCATGTCAACACACTCATAAACTTAGAAATATGAAATGTGAAGATGCTGGTTGGGAGTGATGTTTGTTTCAGCTTGTTCAGTAAGTAGTTCTAATGTTTACCTTATCAACTCCAATGATATATTTCACACTGCATGTTTGTACATCTTCCATGGCCCACTGTCTTATTATTTCTCCTGACATGTTATGAAATGTAACTATTTTCATTCTATGTTACAAAAAAATATCTGTTTTTTTTATGTTAGTTTTGAACCTAAATTTAAAGGATTTATGAGGAGAGGGCCTGCTGGAATTAGAAGCATATGTTTAAGGGGGATTGCTACATTAAAGCCACTTTGATATGTGATTAGTACAGGTTTAGCAGGGGGAAAGCTGTAAGCGATCACAGATCGAGTGGCAGCTTTCAGAGATTTGGATGTTTTTGTTTTGCAAATATATATATATATATATATATATATATATATATATATATATATATATATTATTATTATTCATAAAAGGAGACATTGTGAAATTTATCTCCAAACTAAAAGCCAGTCTCTGTTCTGTTTAATAAAATAGTTTAAACATTTTTGTAAAATAAATTAAAGGGAAACTGAAAAAAAACATTACTAAGTGATCATAGAACTAATTAATGCAGTGACTAAAAAACAAACAAGTGGGGGGTCAGAAACAATAAATCAGAAGCAAAACAGTACACTAAAATAATAAACATTTCTTTTTGTATATTTTTCCATAACAAATGTATGTTACATAAGGCTCCTGGCATCCTGTTTACAGAAATTAATATAAAAAACTGTATGAAAAAAGTAAATGTTGAAAACAACTGTGTTATTCACTCTGGATGTAAGATAAAAAGAGGATCAGTACTGTCTGGCATCATGCAGGGAATATTTTTATCACTCTGATAATACCCCCATCTATGTTAAATCTAAAAGACCTACTAATGCGATACATCTGTTGGTGTTTAGTTTGATGGGGCACATATGTTCTTTATTATTCCGCTGGGTGATTATGTGGTTAAGGCTAACCCTCTTAACTGATTAAAAACTCTGAATTTGTAGGAAAATGAAAAAAATAATAATAATAACAATACAGTATCAAAATTGAAGCAGTTGTAATGAAATGTGCGTGAAGTGCAAAATAGTTTTCAATTTAGCAAGCTGCGTAATGTGGAAAATGCGAAATGATTCTACCGTAGGAAGCGACCTCTTAGCTGTAGGGGGCAGCAGCGAGCACTAAATAACAAAATAGCCGAAAAAGAAGAGACGTCAACAGGAAGGAGTAGCGCTGCTGCAGTAAGGTTAAAATTGCTTTTTGTGTGGATTTTTGTCATTTAAGGCTGTGCTGTCAGTTTTTGGACTTCTTGGCTTATTAAAACGGAAGCATTTTGTGGTTAAACTCATATCTTGACAAGGATTTTAGCCACTACCATACAAATCTCCCACAGCTGCAAGTCCATAGTAAACCAGCACCGTGTTGTTCGTGTAGGTAGAAGACACAAACATAGAAGTTGAATACAGAATAACAGACTCTTTTATTATTAATTTCTTCACATCTTACTGCGGAGATCTGACAAGAGTTAGGTACTTAAGTTATGCATTCTTCAAGTATGTGCGCTGTATTATTTCAATAGTTACTGTATGGTGACAAATTTAAACTTAACATAGAAACTTGAGACCAGTTATTCTTGAATATTATAGAAATACGGCAGAGACATATATCTCCTATCTATGCAGTCTTTTATTATTATTATTATTATTATTATTATTTATTATTATTATAGCTTGGGCTTGTTCCTTTTATTAAACTATTTTCAGTAAATGTCCCTCTTGGAAAGAGATTTGAACACATAAAGTCCCATGACAAACTATAGATGCCTTTGCAATTTCACCACATATTCAGACTTGTTTCCCCCTGTGGTTAAAAAATAAAACCAAGTGTTACCAACTCTCTTCAGAAGTCACTTTATTAAAGTTTATAAATTATGCATTCTGTGATGGACTCAGATGTTTGTTGGATAATATTAGTGAAAGAAAGCAGCATCATAAAAACAAAAGAACACAGCAGACAGGTGTAGAAACCGGAGATACAAGACAATTTTCTTTTTATAGTACATTTCAACTAAAAGGCAGCTCAAAGAAAAATCCTAATATTTTAAACTACTAATGTTCCAGTTATTGATTAAAGACATCTCTAAACACATTCCTATTTGTAATTTAAATGAACTCGGTGTTTCAACGTCTTTACCTGAGCATAAACTTAGTTTAGATTAAAACATTGCTGTGTATTGGTCTGCTACTTACAATTCCAGTAAAGCACATGGATGTTTGTGGTTGTATATTGAGAACTTTTAACAAGGTCAGGAAACGCAAATACGTTTACAATAAACTAAATGTCTGCAAATATTCTGGAATCAGGAGGGGGAAAAAAAAATACTTAAGCGGTTATAAGATTACCTTTACAACTGTGATTCTGTTTACTATTAAGGTTCTGATTTAATTAAATATCCAAAAAGTAAACCTCCATCAGGTTTTTGTTTTTTTACAAACACAAAAAGTACAAAGAAACACTAAAGAGTACAAAATTGCAAACAAAATAAGAAAGAAACCAATTTTTTTTCAGTGAAACTGAACAAACACATACACAGAAACAATAAACCTATCGTCAGCTTGGCATTTCCATGACAGTTGAGTTGATCAGTTGAGATGAATACAGATCTTAGTGGCCGGGCCTTATCAAGCATCTGTGTGCGTGTGGTCTTTGGTTAGGTATTAAGAGCATTAATTGCAGCATCAAACTGATAACTACATGACAGAAATCCAAACATGTCTAAATAATAACAGATCACAGTTTAAATTCAAACACCAAAAAAAAAAAAAAACACAAATCTGGAATCCAGGGAGGAGCCCCACACATAAAACGGTTCGGTAATCCTCTCAGTTTGTGCCAATGTGGGTTTTGATCAACTCTATAATCTGATAAATTCTGCCATTACCGATGAGAATTATGATTATGACCAAAAAAAATGTAATCTCTGAAATAATGAATTATTATGGAAGAATAAGCCTTTTTAAACAGAGTCCAAGCTGCTCTTATCTGTTATCTAAAATATTCAAAGGTTCTGTTGGTGGCTGTATTACTGTTGTTTTAAAGTCTGATTTCCAAATTCCCTGTACTTTTTTTGGACTTGCGTAAAATAAGACAATATATAACAAAAATATGTAATTCTTCTGCTGAAGGACTCATCTCAGACATTATATTTTTCCCCTTTCAGACCTGCAACATGGCAGGCCGACGGGCTCTGAAGGCTGTCCTCATAGACCTCAGTGGGACTCTACACATAGAGGACACTGCAGTGCCCGGGGCGCAGGACGCCCTCAACCGGTAGGAGACACGCCACAAACCAAAAGAAAAGTCTCTACTTACACTTTACAAAGGCAGACTTTTAAATGTGCTTTTGATTGGGCCTTTTTTCCATGTGTTCTGGGGCTGCCAGGTTACGGCAGGCATCAGTAGCTGTGAAGTTTGTGACCAACACAACAAAGGAAAGTAAGAGAAACTTACTGGAGCGACTGCAACGACTTAACTTTGACCTCCAGGTGAAATATCAGAAGTTGGTTGTGGGTAATAAAGTGCAGTTTTAGAAAGTTAAGAAATATCAGTTCATCTCAATAAATTTGAATAATATTGAAAAGCCTCCTAAAGGTAGTAAAGGTAGTAAATCTGCTTTATTTAGTAGAATAACTTGTAAAGGTCCAGACTGCTTAGAGACAAGCGTTCAAAATCATTACATAAAGTGAATCTGGAGCACTTTTGTTCTCTGAACCCGCAGGAAAAAGAAATCTTCACGTCTCTGAGTGCTGCAAGGAGCTTGTTGGAACAAAAACAACACAAGCCGCTGCTGCTGGTGGAGGACAGCGCACTGGAAGACTTCACTGGTACCTTAGAAGAAATTTTCTGCGTTACAAATTCATCTCCACTTTATAAAGTTGTGTTCCTCATCTGTCCATAACAGTTTGAACAAATAGATGACAGCTTTAACTCCAGACTGTTGTCCTTCCTTCTGCAGGTATCGACACTTCGGAGCCAGACGCCGTCGTCATTGGACTCGCTCCTGACCATTTCAACTACCAAAGTCTCAATAAGGCTTTCAGGTGAGGAAACTATTTGTAGATTTGCTTCTTGATAATCTCAAAAACATGTACCTCAGTGCAGGTTATATATATATATATATATATATATATATATATATATATATTTTTTTTTTGGAAGATATGACATTTTAAAACCTAAGTCAATTAACACTCGCACAGATTAAGATATTGTTGATATGTTGACACATCTTGACTTCTACTTTCAAAACTGTTTTATACATATTTTTCATGTATGTTTCTTTCTAGAATGATTTTGGATGGAGCTCCTCTTATTGCCATTCATAAGGCTCGTTACTACAAACGTAAGGACGGCTTGGCCCTTGGCCCCGGACCCTTTGTGACGGGCTTGGAGTATGCCACAGACTGTAAAGCTACAGTGGTGGGAAAGCCCGAAAAGACGTTTTTCACACAGGTAAAGATTCTTTTAAGGACGTATCGGGGGTTAGTACAGCTAATAATGTTACATTTTCAGATCTGGTTAATTTTGGAAATTCTCTACATGATGTATGTCTGAAGGAGTATTTGGTAGTCGTCTACCCTTCAATCTTTGCATGCCATTATCCGTCAGCCAATTTAGCTATTGACCCATGAATCCATCTATCCACAATTCTTACTGAACTAAGAAATCTGGAATTTTAAAATAAAAGTTCCAGATTTTTATTTTAGAGTTTATTCACCCTCTGAATAAAGTCTACTAATTTTCTTCTCCTAAACAGGCCTTGTCTGATTTAGGATGTAGCCCCAGTGAAGCCGTCATGATAGGAGATGTAAGTATTTCTATCTGTTTCACTGATAATCATCTAAATCGAAAAGAAGCTCATTTTAGATGATCATAACGGTCTTAATAGGACTCAAATTGAAAATTTTTTCACCTACATTTCTTCAGTAATACCATTCCAAACATTTTAAACATCTAATAAGTTCAGGTAAAAACTGATGTCATCCCATTGAAACATATTTCTATTGGAAGCCACTTACACCAACCCAGTTGTTACCTTTATTTTACATCTTATTTCCTGCAGGATGCCAGAGACGATGTAGGTGGGGCTCAGAATGCAGGAATGCTGGGTATTCTTGTTAAAACAGGTAAGTTCAGTCCTCCTGATTATTCATACCCCTTGGAATGATTCTTGATACAACTACCAACTTTAAATTAACTTAAATATATTTACTCGTATATTCAGTTTTTAAGAGGTGAGCAAGCAACATAAAGTTGAAACAAAGCTGAAAGCAGTTTGAAACAAACATGGAAGGAGGAGCTCTGGACACAATAGACACATTTTTAACTTTTTTTTTCTTTCTGTTTTTCTGATAATATTTCATCTTCTCACACTGCAGGTAAATATAGAGACGGGGATGAAAGGAAAATTGACCCACCTCCTTACCTGACATGCAACAGTTTCCCTGATGCCGTCGAACACATCCTACGGAATCTGCTATGAACTTCAATGGAGAATGAAACATTTTGCACTATCAAGCTGTTTAAAATAAACGTCGTAGATGTAAGTGAATGCTCTGTGAAAAACATCTTGTAAAACAATAATGTTGGCTCTGAAAAGCAATATTCAGATGTTTGTTAAGAAGGTTCAAAATTTATTTGATTATTGCAATGTGAGTCTGCGACCCTCACTATCTGTGCAAAAGCAATTACAGAGTGGTACTGAAAAAATATCAAATTGACGTAAAAAAAGAAACAATTTGGATTAATATTTTCAGCCTGGACATCAAACTGACTTGTGCTTTTTCTCCCAGATTGTGTATCTGTCCATCAGGTTTTGGGTCGACGGTTTAGTGTACACTAGAACCTCCATGAAATCCTCTGTTGTTACGGTTCCCAGCTCAATGGCGGGCATGTCCATGTTTGCTGTGGAGGAGAATCACACAAGAGCCTGAAGTGTTGTAGGGGATCTCCAGTTACAAATGTGTTGTTTTTTTTTTGTTTGTTTTTTTTTAATTTACCATCATGATGCGACTCCAGAGCATCAAAAATCTTGCGAACTGGTCTCATGGCGGCTTCCTTGCATGTTAATCTGATGTCACAGCCAGAGTATCCTTCCATCTCCTGTGTCGGCACACGAGAAAGATTAACTTTACAGAAGTAACAGAAATGAATGCAAGAAAAAAGTATAATTCCAAAAAACTATTTTGCAATATGAAAAATCACATTTAATTTGCTGATATTGGCTATGACAAACCTCTGCCAGCATTTTGTAGTCTAAGCTAGTCTGTAGCTTCACCCCACCGAGGAGGCTGAGAGGAGGCAGCCAATGAGAAATCATGGCTTGGCGAGCAGGTGACGAGGGAAGACCTACTAGAATCCTCTTCTCTAACCTCCTCAGCATCCCGTGGTCCAGCTCCCTGAAACAACAGCTGCTTTTGTCACTTTTGTCACAAATGTGTAGGAATAAAAATAAAATAAAATGGCAGTCATCTTAAATGTTGCAAACGTTCATATTTTATAATGTTACTATCTCAGACTTTATTTTGTAGGGATTTTATGAGATAGACCAACATAAAACAGTGCAGAATTCACCAAACTTCTCCCCATCTTTATGTCTGAGCTGGTCGAATGTATATTATGGTTTTACCAAGGCAGGTTGGAAGCAGCGAGAACAAACACGAGATCTTCTGATGTTGCGAGGCCGTCCATCTGAATCAACAGCTCCGTCTTCATCCGCCGACTCCCCTCATGCTCGTTCCTGGACACAGACATCTGGTTTCCGTTAAACTGACCTCTATTCTCCGCTTTGCTCTCTCGGGGGAGTGTTTTCAGCCCTAGACCAATAGCAGCAGAATTGATGACTTATAGTGGCAAAGCTCACGTTGCACTGGTTCCTCTTTGGCCCATCACTGACTCCAGCTCATCCAGGAAGATGGTGGATGGGGCATGGTACCTCGCCAGCTCAAAAAGAACCTGCAGCACAGAACATGCGTTCACCCCTAGGTGTAAATAATCTGGTTCAGCTGATGCTTGGTGTGTCACGTGAATTCATTTGAATAATGTAAAAAGGAGTCATTAAATACAACTTTTATTTTATTTCTTTTGTTCATTTTGATTATTTTTGAATCCAGAGAAAACAGTTAACCAGTAAACTCTCAAAAAAATGAAGAAGGTTAAACCTCAAAAGGCTGTATCTTAGCATCCTGTTAGAAAATCGCCAAAATGTTTTTTTGTTTGTTTTTTTTTTTTGTTACAGACATGAGCATTTCTGTTTAAATAGAGCTATTTCATCAAATTAACGTTTTGATGAAATTCAAAATCATTGAGATGCGTGCTCAGTGACAACTTACCCGGACGAGTTTTTCAGAGTCGCCTCTCCATTTGCTGACGATGCTAGAGGCTGAGATGTTGAAGAAGGTTGTCTTGCACTCTGTAGCCACAGCCTTGGCCAGCATAGTTTTACCTGTGCCTTTGTGTACAGGAGACATGGCGATGAGGTTTTCAATCAAGTCCATAATGGTCGATTAAAAAAAAAAATATTAAATAAGGTTCCTAAAGAGTCTGGAACGGTATGGAAGATGAGTAAGGTATTTTCCAGGTTTGATTAAGTAAGGGCATAAAAGAAAAAAAAAAAGGAGAGTGGAGGAAGTTTTATACTTCCATACTTTAGACATCGGTCTCTCCTAACAATTCATCCATCTATTCTCTAATCCTTTTGTCCATCTTTGATCTATTGACCAAACCATCCGTCTGTCCGTCCATCCATCGTCTAGAAGTCTTTGCAAGCTAGAGCTAGGCTTGACACTTAAAAAATGCTGTATCCACCTTGCATTTATAGTAAAATTTTGTATAAATACTTTAATATTAACTAACAAGACATTGAGACCTTTGGGAAAGAGAGTTTGGAACAGAGTGGGATTTTGACATAAAAACTGTATGGGAGCCATGTGAATGTGAACAGTGTGTTACCTGGGGGACCATAAAGCAGCAAGCCCTTCCACGGAGATAAGATGCCGGTAAACAGCTGAGGGTACTGTGAAGAGGAGGAATTAAAGAAAGCAAGAATCAAAAGAGGGTAAGGTGATTAATCCAAGTGTGAGCAAGCTATGAATAATACTGCACAAGTCTTCTATAAATCAACCTATTGTTCAATATCTATTCTAACTACACTGTTTTGGCAGACCCATTAAAAGCTGAGCTATGCGCGAGTGAAGCTGTTGAGCCAGATGAAAAGCTGAGTCAGGGCTCCAAATGCCACGGGGCGCAAATTAGTCTGAATTTTAGGTGGTGAAGAGACTCAAATCAAATCCGCCTGACCTTATAAGACTGAGAATGAATAATAATGGAGACAGAAGTTAGGGGCAACAGAGAGGTGGTTTTATTCAATAAAAGAGTCCAGCACTGTATACGTAAGAAGATGGACACATCAGTCCTCATCTTCATCTGGAAATGTCAAGAGGATGCAGACAGCCTGATTCGTTGTCACGAGAAAGGTCTGCATGATGATGATAAAAATGTGTGTGTGTGGCGGTTATCTATACGCAGCGGCAAAATTGTGTGAACGTGCATGGCTATGGCAAATTTTTACATGACCTTCGGTGTTTGTGCATTCCCGCCTCCCTCTCCGTCTATCCATCTGTGTATTACGTGTTGCCATAAGATCCCAGATATAGATTTAATGTCAGTCTAATAGAGCGACCTGACCCCGATGGCCTCCTCCTCTTTAAGCCCCTAAAGGAGATGTATTCAGAATCGAAATACCAGGCGCGGGTGTGTGCCGGCCTCACCTTAATGGGATAAACGACGGCCTCTTTGACTAATCGCTTGGCATCCTCCAGACCAATGATGTCCTCCCACCTCACGTTTGGGCTGTGCAAATAGATGTCCTTTAGGGGTGAACACACACAGAGAGAGAGAGAGAGGGAGAGAGGGATGCATTGGGAAGAAGACGCCGAGGGTCAATTAGGTTTGGGTAAGTAGGTGTCCTTTAGGATGAAGCATCATTTAAGTAGTATAGATAGAACAGTAGGCCTTCATTAATACAGCAGATCAGTCAATTTACAGCAAAGCTCTTTACTGCTCTCTGCTGGACAGAATCAGAACCATTCATTTATATAAGCTACTGCATTTAACGGTTTACAGGTGCATAAAATATGTAGGTTATTTAAATGAATGACAAAAAATATTTAACTTTTTCACAGTATTCTAATTTTTTAAGGGTTATTGCACAATTTACTACTTCAGTGATTATTAAGACAAATAATTAGGTACACATGCTTGACTTGGTGAAAAAACATGCTCAGATATTTACATATATACTCCCACTAATATTTTGATAAATATTCACTAGCAAGTTGAAGAGAAACCATAAACTTTTCACTTCTATGACACGGTTCTGTCATAATACCGTCTGGGTATTTGACCACTTACAGGTCAAATGGTAGAGCTTGTTGATATTCATTGGATTTTTGGCATGTGTTTATATTTAAAATATATGAATATTCAGAGTGAAATGGAGCCAAAGTCAAACGCATTGTTTGTCTGCACAAACTTGGCCAGTGATAAAAGTGTGAGAGCAGCTTGTTAATGTCTACAGAACGTGTGCAAACCAGATGGAAAGTGGAGCATTTCTGTAAATATTAGTAGAATATGTGTATATATCTGAGACTGTATGCATAATTTTGACCCTGTGTCTGTGTGTTTGTACCTCACTGATGATTGCAGCAAGTTCCCTCATCTCACCACTAATCCCAGAAAAGCCACTGAGGGGCTTCAGCAACCGCTCCTGCAACATAAAAAAAAAAGAAAAACATATAGCTGCATTTCCTTATAAAAACATTATACAGTAACTAACCAAAATTAAACTGCAGCTTTATGGTGATGTGACTGACTCTTTCTTTGGTTTTTATGTGGTGTGTAATTACCATGTGGTCTGAGTGGATAACTGATCCGTTGAAGACATTGTGGATTGTTGCTTTCCCATCAGCCGTCTGATGACAAAGGCAGTATTAATGAAAACGGATGCTTGTAGAACATTTATGAATTATTTCATAAAATCCTATGTAAAATAACATTTTATTGACAGAATTTCACCTGGGAATTTTCAAACATTTATCAGAAATGCTGAATGTGTTGTCAAAGTCGATTGGCCTCAAAACTAGTTCTCTTGATTCAGACATCAGATATTTCTTATTTCATGTTTACTATGACACAACCAATGCTGCCTGAATCAACCCTGTTAAATTTGAAAATCGGTTGGGAAAGTGTATTAACAACAAAGCTGATGTAATGTCTATCCCTGAAGAATCTTTTGAGTTATGACTTCTTCTTTACCTTTTTGCTGGAAGCAGCTTCGCCGGCAGTTTTGATGGAGAATGTGTTCAAGCCCAAATCCAATGACTCTGGTATTACAGGGGTGCCATTTTCCTATGAAAGATTTTGCATAAGTTATTGTTTTATTTATTTATATAATTATCTGAGTTGTTTGAATAAAGTGTACTATGTTTTTACATTAGCGGCTGTTTTCTTGACTGAATTTCCAGTTTGGGGGGAGCAGGATGGAGTGATTTTGGGAAGAGGTTTCTGTCTCCTGTGACCAAAACAGACATTTTAAATTGTTAGGACATGAAGACAATTTGAACATCTATGTCATGAATTCATAAGGATGAGTTTTCAAGAGATGTGGTGACTCACTTCTTCACATCACTTTTTGTCTGCTTGTTTTCACCTTTACACACACAAAAAAAAAACACTTTAGGAAAAACAGCATTAATGCTGAAGCAGTCTACCATTTTATTAATCTAAGTGTGTGTCAATGATAACTTCAGCGCACAGAGGCCTTCTTTCACCTGGTTCTGTTTTCCTGATGAATTTGGGATACTTCTGGAATTTGACATAGTGATAATTCTCATACTCCATGAGAACTATCTCCAGATCGACGTTGTCACAAACCTCAAATTTTTTCACACCTCCATTTGTCTCCTGATCCAAAGCTGTCGCTGCGGATGCATACCTGGTGGGCAAATACCAATGCGCGCGTTGGATTTCAAATTGACAGACAACATCAACATCATGTAAACTTCAAATTTGTAATTATGGCAAAAAATAAATCATACCAACCCTTGCCCAAGTAAATGTTGATAAATGAGAACAAGAATGCTCTTCTTCCTCATCTCGGTTCTCAGCTTATCCTGCAGAGGAGCAACAATGAACAGGATCAGGAATACAAGACTGCATAATTTCCAATTATACAATCAAAAATTGGAAATTATTTTATTTAATCAAATTATTTGAAATTATTTGATTATAATCAAATACTTTTAATTTGATTTAAATAAATATTCCTAATATTTATTTAGGATAATGTATGTATCTACATAATTTTTTATTATACATTGTTTGTGAACATGTTAAAATTACGTGTGATATTTTATGAATTATAAATTTATTTTATTTGTTTTCTTTAATTTTGTCAACCTACCTCACACAGCATGATTATAATTTTATTTAAATTCACATCGGGACAAAGGTAATTTCTTTTTGTTTAGATTACGACATTTCCAGCCTACTACACACGAAGTTGACATAACAGATATTTCAATATATAACAATCAAAATAAATTCACCCAAGACAGCTAAACTATTGATTTCATTTAAATTAGCCAATACAAAGGCAGCGCTACCATTGCCAGCAGGGGGAGACAAATAATCAAAACAATCCTTCACGGTATCTAGGCAACCAGAGAACGCCGATTCATGTGGCTCTTATAATTAGCTTAACGGCTACCTGCCAAACTTTAAATATGAAATGTTTAGTTTTTTATGCATCTGTAAAGCATACCTATATTCAAATATTTAGCTAAATGTAATTTCATACTTTTATGCGTCTTAATTTATAAGTATTACTGTTATTTAGCTAACTAAAAGATGTTTTAGCTTAAGGATGTTCTCCGTGTTATCTTTCTGAAGCTACAACAAATAAGAACAGAATATCAACTCACAGCTTCCCGAGCTTCATGGGCAATTTTCATGGACTGGTACGAAAGCTCCATCATATTTCTGAAATCTGAAAGCTGCCTCGCAAAGCAGTGCTACTGGTTATCAGATACTGTAGTGGTCACACGCTTTGTTGACGTAGCAACCAAATCTATTATAATGCAACATGCGACGTCATCTGTTGTCGCCAAAGTCCGCATACGTTTCCAAAAAAAGACGCAGGGAAATAATTTATATTTCAAGCTCATCAGTAAAATGTATTTTTTTGCTCTATAAAAAACACAGACAAGAACATTTTATTAACACAAAAGATTTCAAATTACTTTATCCAAACTGCAACTATAAAAGCAAGAGAAAAAGAAAAGAAAGAATACTGTTAGCCTCTTTCATTAAGATGGTGTAGATTTACTTTTTAAGACTAGTGTGTAAAATTATTTGCCATATTATTTTTTTTTAATAAAAAAGAAGGACTTAGCAGATAGGTGATTTGGAATGAGGTGCTTTTATTAGCCTGGACTCTTAACTGCATAAGGCCAGATAGGGCCTTTCTTAATGTACGTAATTATTTTATAATTTAAAAACAAAAATCTTCAAACCAAAGAGACATCTAAGTTTAACTCAGTTTGTTAAACTGGAAATCAAAGATGTATGTAACAGTAATACACTATATACTGTTGCTATGACTACATTTCATACAAAGGTCAGCTCTTTCTAATTAAATTCTTACATAAAAATGTACATAAAAACAGCACTGATTATACTAACCATGAGAGTTAATCTTTAACCAGTAAACTGCACACCTGGTAGAGCAATATGGTGATGTATGTAAATTGTTTCAACACAGTCCTGTCAATGGTTCTTTAAGTGTTTGGATGGGTTATAAATTCAGGCTGGTTTCTCAGAGATGACAAATCACAGCTGCAGATACAGTCAAAGTTCAACATTAAGACAACACAAGTTTATTTTTTTAAAGACGTGATGCAAAATAACACTTGAGCCTTGTAATTTTATATTATTGTCTTCAGTAGGTTACACTTCTAAAAGTTTTACACATTTTTTTTAAACATTCAGTAGAAAAATCAAACAGTAATAGCACAGGATTACAGTGCAAAGTTTGCTGGGACAGATATGACCTGCATGTATTTCAAATAGTTTCTATAACTAAAAATTGTCAGATGAACTATTTGACAGACTTCAAGAGTGTGAGGGAAATAGAAAACTGAACTTTGCTGTTGAAGACAAAAATAAACATTTTAATCATTGTAAATAAAGAAATGTAGTGTGAAAGGAAATTGCATTGTTATTTTGCAAAAAGTCTGAACAAAAATAGTTAAAACAAAGCTGTTCTCATGGCTGGCAAACACCAACGCACAGATTTCATTAGCATATCCCATCAGCTTTTAAATATTTTCAAGAAGGCCGGATACAAATGAACGAATCAAGTCTGATAAAAAAAACAACAAAAAAAACATGCTTGCAGTAAGAGAAAACATGCTTTTTCCATCCCTGGTGCTGGTTTCTGGGGGTTATTGTTGCTATGATCCTCCTTACAGAGCATCAATGTGCATAGAAACAAGAAATGTATACGTTTATGTGGGCTGGTCACTGGTATCACGGTACATTGAAGTTTCTAAAGATAGATGATTTAAAATCAGCTAATATTGATATGTTACCATTCCTGCAGTTTAATGGTCCTTTAATTTAAAACTTCCAGAGCGATCAGGATTTTTTTCCCCCCTCATCTTTTGGCACATGAGGTAAAGCAGTCCTCCACATCTCCCACCTGTTACTGCACACAGATGATCAGATGGCTGAAATAATATCTGCTTTTCCCTGCACTTTCAAAAAAAAGACAAGTTGAAGAATTTTGAGATATAATGCAGAAACTAAAGCTGGTTACCCTAGCAAATATCAGCTGGATAAGCTTGACAATTCCAGGAAGATCAGTGTGACAACATTTTGCCCAACTGGTTTTTGAATTACAAAAGTATTGTGTGAGAAAATGTACTGTAGATGACAAGATTACTACTGGTATCTCAGAAGCAATATAATTATTTGTTGCTTTTTTGTTCCGTTGTGTCAATACCGTTCTGTGAAAATAATCACAATACTGTTTCTCAAGGTTATCATATCACATCTAAATATTGGTAAATTTTGTATTTATGGATTTTGAGATGTTTTTGGACAATGAATGATAAATAATCAAATCTAAAATTTGGCATAAGAAACTGTAAAATCAATAAACCAGACATCCAGATAACTGCTACACTTGAGCAGTCTGACCTGTCGCAGGGAATTATTTAACAGCGTGGGGTGCCAACTGTTTTGCAGATTTCCAAGATCTGATGTAGTGCAACTGCGTTTGTGAAATTCATTCATGTATTCAACAGGGATTTTAAAGAGAATAACTGTAAACTGGATTGTCATAAATTACTTGTTACAGTTTTGCTCCCGAGAACTTTCTGCATAAAAAAACTCCCGCTCCTCATCCCAGATTTAAACTGCGGACAGCGCTTTGATGTCCCAAGTCAATCTGGAAGTGTGCGATCATCTTCGGTTGCTTAGAAGATCCCGGCCTCTGTAAGTAGCGTGCCGGCCTCCAGCATCAGAGCCTTTAGGTAGACGCGGACGGTGTAGTACATGGTGACAAAGTCCTGGGTGCTGAACAGGGTGTCTGATAGGGCAAAGCCAAGCGTGGAGGGGATGAAGCCTCGGCCGTACTCCACCATCCACGTCCCAGCGCTCCACTGGACCGACGTGGCTTCGCCCACTTCATGAACAATAGTGTCACCTGAGGGGATACAGCATGGATGCAGAAAAATATTTAATAACTGATATTTAGGCACATAAAGTAGGAATCAGAAGAGCGTGTACCAACAAAAAAAAAAAAACAAAAAAAAGTTTTTGAATTAGCTGAAGAATACAGGGGTTCAGTAGACAGACCGTCTATAAGAGTTTTATAAGAGTATCTTCTGCTATCTGCATGTTGACACTGCCAACTTTGACTCCACACAGAACCCAAAATTAAAGTTTTAATTTGACCTGTTCATGAGTTTTTGACTCTCATTTCATGTAGATGGTATAAAATAAACCTGACAGTGATTTCTGCCAAATAATTTTTCACCCCCGACAATATCCTGACCCAAAGCTTAAGCATTTGCTTTGCCAGTCCATTACACACTTCTACACTGATTTTTAAAAAAATCTATTTTAAATTTCAAAAGATGTGTGTCATTGCAGTTGGAAAAAGCTTTAAAAGTATTTATAATGTGTTCATTTTATTAGATTGCAAAATCCATTACAGATTTGAGGATTTAAATCTCCTACTTCTTTACCTGGATAATACACTTCACTCTTGGTGGTCCCCTCCTTCCACTGCCTGAAAGTACCTGAGATGATGGTGTCGGAGATCTCCGCCCAGTATCGACCTGATTCAAATTGGAAACGTCAAAAAAAAAAAAAAAATGAAGACGCAACGTTTGAAAACTAGCAAAGTCTCAACAATTCAGAAATAAATAAATAAAATAAAAATAGGGAGATTAATGTAACCTCATGGTTTCTTACCTGAGTGTCCTCCAGTGTCCACTGCAGTACCAAACAGCAGCAGGTACTCTGTTAAGGAGGCATGGAGGAGACACATGGAGCCCATCCAGCCTCCAGCATTCACAAACACCCACTGCAAGTCCTCATCTGGTAGGATGTGACCCGGATACCTGGTTTAGACACGCGTACCCGTTACAAAAAAGCTACGGTAAAATAAAACTACAGAATCTCACAAAACTATTCATGTCCCTTGATTTTTTTCAGATCTGGTTTAACAAATGTAAGTGAGGTGTGTATATTTGTTTCCCCCACCCAGATGTGGCAAAAACAACGCTTTCACCTCAACTCCCAATCTTAACAATGAATTATGCTGGTAGCAGTATCATGTTACATGGATGGAGAAATTTATCAATTTTATTGTAAATGTATTTTTCTCAAGTGTTTACATCCCTGCTGTTATTTGGACAGTATTCATTCTCAGTAAATAGTCTGCTGTTGTTCTTATATGCACAAATATACATACATATTTTTAATTACTTAGTTGCACAACTCTTAGAAATACCTTAATCATATTCAAACAATGTATTTGCTCTTACTGTGCAGTCTCCAATTCTTACTTTTTGGTCTTTTTAGTTCCAACTGTCAATTATTTTCTATTGATTTACGTTAGTCCTCAGCTTGGAGCCGGCAGCATCAAACTCTGTTTGCATGCTCAGGTTTTGAAAGCAATCAACAAGTCAAATATTTTTCTGTTCTTCATTGTTCAATACACATTTCTTGACTCCTTCCTCTCACAAAGTAAAAACTTTTTTAGACTTGAAGATTTCACAATGTAACCCATTTACGCAACCTCAAAATATAGAGATAGGATGGTGATCGCCCTACTGAGAACAGTTGTAGCAGTGAAATAATGTGAAGCATGTGGAATCAAGAATATAATGCGCACAATTTGTGATTTATTTCATGGCAATTGGAAAAAATAAATAACTGATAAGAAAAGTGCCTTTTTAAAAACTCTTTTTGGTTTTAAATAGAGAATTTAAAAAAAACATGTTTAACGTTTACAGTACAAATAAATGTCTCATCTGCACACAATACTGAAAGACTAATATAATTTGTAGAGGAAAACTGATACAAAATTTGTTTCCAATAAGGATTTGGAACAGCTTTATTTAGTGCAATCTGAAAACATAATTAGCCTAATATTAGACTTAAAGTTGAGGTGATATTTGAAGGCAAACGTCCCAATTTAACAATCTGTATTCACTCTCTGACATAACACTACTATGTGGTCTGGAAGTATTCTGAAACATTGCATTGTTACCTCTTTCTGAGTTCCACCACCACTTTGGAGAAAGCTTGCTCATGGTCCTGCCCTGAAGAGTCCCATCAAAAATAGATGCAATTTAGACCCTTTGGACGTCAAGTTCTACTCACCGAAATAAAACGCAACAGAACTCAACTTTCATTTACACTTAAAACGCAACTTACCTGCATACTGTTTGACCAACATAGCGACCTCTTCATTACTAAAAACGTACGTCTTTGAGGCCATCCAGTACCGCAGTAGCAGCACAACCGCGACAATGACTGCACAGAACACTAACAGTTTAGAAAATTTTCTAGCAAAAGACATGGTCACAAACAAAACTCACAGGCTAAATGAATGCAGCAGGTTAGATTACATGCGTGCAGACAGGTTGCTAACTGGTTGCTTCTTCCTTATCACGTGAGCGCGAGAGATTGCGACTCGGCCAATCACAAATCTTATTATGTCGCATGCGCAATATGGTGGGACTGCTTATTCTCGAGGATTCGGTTCATCTGGCTGAGATCTTTCAGTTCTGATCAGTTCCTTGCTTGGAACGACTTCTGGTTTTGAGAAACTTTATTCATAAGAGTATATAAAGTACTCTCACAAGTTTGTTTTATTTTTTTTTAAATTGGTCATGCTGAGCTATATCTATAAAATGTTAGACCATTGTTCCACTACATCTGGACTTTCCACTGCCTTTTATTGTGATCATAGGGATCTTTTTTATTTATTTATTTATTTTTATTTTATAATGTAACAAGACACGATCTAAAGGCAATTTAGAACAGTACCAGTTAGGAGTTAAGAACTGAATGAGTTATAAATTGGCTTGCACTTGCATCCTGTTGAAATGTCCAGATCATACTTCAATAAAATAGGTTTAATCCCTGCATTTAATCTAACCTCATGCTTACTAGAATGTCCTCCAGACCACCACTTGAAGAAGACGCACCTTGATTTTTGCTGTAATTTACAAAGCTTTAAAAGTTATACTAGTATGTGTCTTTTCTGCTGTTAATTTCATTACCATTGTTGAAATAATGCTCAAAACAGTGTGTTTTAGCACTGCTGTTATAATGCTAAAAGTGGTTGTCAAAGATAAAAAAAAGATTCAGGGACACATGTAGGGATTGGAGACAGAAACTGTCATGGTTTGATCAACCCCACATGAGCTAAACTTTGATTGATAGTAAATGTCATAATGACTAAACGACTATGTCAAAGTTAAGTTATTATGTACACATTTTCAATCATAATTGATAATTAACACAGAGGCATCCAGTCTGTACCGGACCAATCGTTCACTTAAAAGAGCCGGTACATTTAGTCGGCTCAACAGCGACCGACCCATCGATAGAGGGCGGGTCCGCTGCAAGGTTGCCAGAACACAGTCGGAACCTTAAAAAGGTCTTAAATGCATGTTTATATTTTAAGAATAGGGACATAGCAACTACATATTATATTTTCTACATTGTTTGTTATGTTCTGTACTTTTAGACTCACAGTTACGCTTATTTCTACTGAAACCCTAAGGTGTTGCATGGTAATGATCCGTCCCGAACGGAACGCCTTTTCGCCGTTTCTGTTTCTCCATAGGCTAAAAGGATAGTGGTGGACAGTGTGGGACCATGCTAAAGTTCACAACTAGTTTATGATTCATTAGTTCAACACCGAGTTGAGAGTTATCAAAGAGAACGAAGATCATGAGCGGCAATCAAGATCTCAGTTTCGATCCCAAAGGTATGTACGGACTTTAGCACCGATTAATTGTGAAGTCGATTCATTCAGGATATCATGCTGAGGACCTTGTTTACAACAGACTATATGACTGCTGATCCAGTTTATCCAAACGTGAATGTTTGTTTTTCCCTGTTTAGTGGGTAATACACTGGAGCAAACGTGTCACAATGCTTATTCTGCATCATGGCTTTACAATAAACACGCAGTCAGCTTGGCTTTCATGTGACTTGAGTTCCTGTTGCTTTTATATCTGCAAGTTGCGATATCAGCAGATTTGCTTTTGACTGGCTGTTTGGTGTGTTTCTTGTATTGATGTAAATGTTTGAAAGTCGCTTACATTTAATCTGTTTTCAGGAATTTTAAGGGTCTTCTTTATTGGCTGAAAATCTTACTAGTTCATCTGAAACTGTGGTCAAAAGAGAGCCAAGTCCCTTTAAAGTTTACTACAAGCTGTGTTGTTGAAATAGGAAACTCATGCAAGAACATACTCTGTCTGGTCAGAGGAGAACCAAAGTAGACACAATGAAGCATGGTGGTGGAGGCATTGTGATGATGGACTGCATTTTTCAGCATGAAAATGAAAGCTCGTCAGAGCTGATAGGAACAGAACTGAAACCTGTGTTTCGGGATGAAGTACATCAAGGTGAAGTCGTGTAGAAATGTGTCAACGTACATTAAGTTAAATGGTTGCAATGTGACAAAAGAAAAAAAGAAATAAAGGGTTGATAATAGTATTACACAGAAGATAAATTCTGGACTTGTCATTCCTTTATATTGTTTTTTTTTTTTTATCTGTTCTGTTTTGACCACCAGAGCATCAGCATCTGCGTTACAACCCGCTGAGAGACAGCTGGGTCCTGGTTTCGGCCCACCGCATGAAGAGACCCTGGGCTGGACAGGTAGAAAAACCCCCTGAGGAGCACATACCCAGATATGATCCCCGCAACCCGCTCTGTCCCGGCAACACGAGAGCCAGTGGAGAGGTAGGAAGACTACCTTAAACAAGAATGGGTTTCGAAACAAATTAAAATGTTTACTGCCGGGGTCCCAAGAGGAGTATTTAGTTCTCCAAAATGATATTGTCTGGATCATGATTTCTAAAATAATGTAGCTTATCATGCGCACTTCTTCAGATACCCAGACCTACATGACTTTATGTGTCACATGGCTTTGTCGTAAGCCTTGGTACGACTTATTTCTTGCATTTAAGTGTTCATCATTTCCCAGGTAAATCCAAGCTATGACAGCACTTTTGTGTTTGAAAATGACTTCCCCGCTCTTCAGCCTGATGCTCCAGATCCTGGTGAGTGTTTGTGTTGAAGCAATATGTTACACAATATTAGAAATTGCAGTAGCAAGACTTCTCTGCTCTTATTTATTGTTGTAATGTCTTTATGTCCTAAAAAGATGTTTTTTTGTTTTTTTCTGGTCTTTAGGCTCAGATCAGCATCCGCTATTCCAGTCGAAAGCCGCCAGAGGTGTTTGGTAAGAGAACAGCTTTTAGCCTGACATGGGTAGTACACAAATAGTTGTATTCCTTTACCTTCTTAAGACTAAGCCAAGTTATTTAGATTTTAAAGCAACATTTCAGTTCTGCTCGAAATAAATTAGTTTTGTTTTTACCAACAAATAGTACAATTTTGTAAAATGTGAAAAACTTGTTTGCAAGTCTTTGTTATACTCTGTATTAGTTCCCTTCATTCTCTCTACACACATTCAGATGTGGTTCTTAAAATCACCAGCAGATGGGGATCTTTCCCCACATCTTGCTTTTTCAATAGGTATTGACTAAATTAACTTTTTTGTCATACTTTCTTCCTCTATGAATAATAATTAATTTCACCCTCATATAAAGTTCACGGTGACTATCACTTTAGAGAACTAAAACTTTTTTTTTTGTATAAATAATGTTTTCTTTTTCCTGCCCTCCTGACCTCCCAGAACTTGTGTAGTCTTCTACAGATCATTTTTTGAAGAAGTGACAAACCCAGCTTGCATTTTTTTTCTTCTTTTTTTATCTTGTCACAATACGATTGACTGTTTGTTGCTAAAGCTCAAGAGCAATCCCCTGTTTTTGTGGGTCTACGTGGATGATTGTGGCTGACAGCAGAGTTGCATAACAACTGAATAATAGATTAAATCAAACGTCTTCTGTGAGTGTGCTGGTTAAAAACTGAACTGTGGGTTTAATTCCCCTAGTGTTGGCAGATGTAGACGCTGTCAGGTACTCGCACTGTGAAAAGCACTGAACCAGCGTTGATTGACGTGTTGTGCTTTCTCTGTGTTGATTTTTTAAACATCAGAAGTTTTTTTTTTTTTTTTTTTTCTGTGTTTTGGAGTCGGAGTGAGTCGGGGTTTTGTCTGCGTCGGATGTTTTTCCTCATGCAGTATCTGTGTGCATCTTCCTGTTGTGTTTGTCACGCAGTTTGTGTCTTTATTGGGGGTAGAAAGAAAAAATAAAAGGAAACTTTGAAAATAAGCTATAGCTTGTTGCCCTGGAGCAACTTTCACAGAGCCAATTAGTGAGGAAAACAGGATTTAAAGGATCTGGGTCATGGGAGACAAAGAAAAATGGGCTAAGGGGAGCGATAAGACAGACACTAATGATTTATTGTATAATTCTTTTTTTCAGCTATATGGTCCCAATTAACACCGCTGTGACGAAAAATGTGGTCACACTTTGCTTTGCTTTCTCATTTTAATTATCAGGTTCCTTAAAATTTCCTCAAAAGGTCAACTTGTGCTATAGGAATTAATTAGAGCTTTTGCTTAGACAGAGCTCGGCCAACCTAATCAGTATGTAAAGCAAAACTTAGTATAAAAGTAATGTTTCCTATATTTATTTAGACTTCTCAATTCCCAGTTTACTTCTCAGTTTGTTCTCATAAGTATCAGTTGAATTAATGCTCACCTGCTTCTGAAGCCGGAGTACCTGGAGAGATGCACAGAGAGAACATGCGATCTGCTACGAAACTGCACTACCAACTCCACTGCTACTTCTCTATAAAAAAAAAAAAAAAAAAAAACAAAAAAAAAAAAGGTAAAACTTGGAGGATTTTTTGAGCTGCCTTTGGG